ATCAGTCAGCCATGACTATCCATACCCCATTTTTCGAAGTTGAGTCAGAAGCTCAGATTTTGCTAAGGTGACGTCCCTAGGGGTTATTTGACCCCTGAACACGAATATGATACCTGTTTTGCGCGAAGAGCGCTGTGAGTCGCGCTACGGCGCCAGCGCGCCTGGAAGAAGAAAAACAGTAAAGAAAAACCTCCATAACTCCGCTCAGAGAATCGTTCTGCAAATTTTGAAGACAGTTCTGAGTTCACCGTGTCAAGATGAGTACAGTGATGTGCATCTCATTGCAAATGGCCAGGCTGACCTGTTGACCTTTCCTGGTGAGATCTATCTGAGTTTCACCTTACGAGCAAAAGGAGCAGAGACCCGTGAAAGGGTGAGAGCGAAGGGAGCTCAGGGTGGTCATACTGCACTGACATGCAGATCGTTACTTCCGAGTCGCGGCATCGCGCATTAGCAATATAGATACAGGCACAGATAGAGCTAGTCTACTCGAGAGACGACGCGCCGCAGCGTTGCTACGTCGAGTGGTCTGGGTCCTGGTACGAATACTGCGTAGTTACCGCACTCGGCTGGAACGCCTATTTTGGCACGATTAGGAATCAAACTATATATTCGCACTGAGCTTTTCGTTCTCTCACCGATGGAGTGATTCCCGTCTTCCTACTACCACGGCCTGGGCAGAGCGCTGACTACCAGAGTGGGCGCGACAGACTCGACACGCGGTGCCACATTAGTACGCGAGCACGTAGCAGCTCAGACTGTTGAACGCTTAAGAACGACATAAGTTTGCTAAGCACTTGGTGCTTCCCTGAACTCATTCCTCTCTCTCACGCATAAGAACTGAGCAGAAACCATTTGCAACTGTGAAAACGCTTTTGCGATTAGGTTTTACTTACTTGCTGCATACATGTTCCACTACCGCATCTCCCGTATCTTCTTGCTCGACTCCTTCTGTATCGGCAACTGTTCTCTCATAAATCTTCTCAATTCTGCACACCAAATGATCGCGCTTTTCTATAATACAACTTGTGACAAGATAAGGGATAAAATTATCTTCCGAAAGCAACTAACCAGGTACATGCCATTCACTGCCACAAACTCTGCAAGCGATCGTCGATGGGGCAAACTGGGGCATCTGAAGAATAGCACCACAGAATCCACAAAACTCTGAATCTACCGACACAAAATTCAGCGGCATTTCTGCAACAAGTACATACATAACTATTTCAAATTACTCACCAGTAAGACTTCAACTACAGAATTACAGACGGAAAACTATGATCAATATATTCTAGGTTGAAAAGTAATAACCACCTGGCATGAACCACATAAAAAAGATCACAACGGAAAACGGAGAAATAACTTCATTGGTTTAACAAGGAGCTCATTTTATCAGCGGATATCCAAAAATCAGTATCACAAGCCAACCACCAACACATAAGCAGAATTTCATAAAGGAATAGGTCAGAGAAGTTCATAATGCATCCTAAGATCTCAAAATGGATCCACATAGCGAGTAAAACATCACTTGCAGGCTCTGGACAAAATAACTCTAAAGAGATGACCGTGATAGTACTACTCCGGGGCCACTCGACCGATACCGGTCTAGTAGCCGTTCTCCTGCTAGTCAGGTCTTTTGTCATACATCTTCATGCTACTGCCCAGCAGAACTCCAAAAGTCCCATTTGAGGACGAATAACTTACTATGCGGAATGACGAATCAATACGTATCATAACAACAGCATCAAGCCCAACCCAACACGAAAAACATATAATAACAAGGGAGAAACAGGATTAATTAGACTGCATCTAATAACTGCGACCAAAAAGAGCAAAGAATTTAGCTTTGTTCTTACACGAGGGGAAGAGGCACTGGTCGGGCAGCTTCTCCTTCGGCTGAAAATAGATGGTTGTAGCAAAAATTGGAAGCTCGCTAACTAGTTACTATTGATCAAGTAAGGTAGAAGGTTTTTTATACTCGAAAGGTGGGACCTTTGACCTCCAAAGACAATGATTCAGTCGAAGAGTCAGGCGATTTCAATAAAAATCCCACCCAATAACCCCACAAGGTAGCCTAGAACTAGCGAAACTGATGAAATATCCTGTACCTGCTCCAAAGGTATGCAAAGGGTTTTCGCTCCCATTTGGGCAGCTCCTGCATCCGCGTCTTCTCGTGTGCTCGCTTTCTTGATCTCGTCTTCACAAGCGATATCACCGCAGAAGGGCGACAGTAGGATGAATTTTTCGTCCAAAAGTTGCTTGAACTCTTCAAAGTCGAAGCAAGTTTTCATATGAGCATCACGTGCAGCCATAACCCTGTAACATGGAAATACGTCACTCGAAAACAGTTAAGACAGATCTGATATCTGAAGAAAAAACACTAACTTATTATACATCTCAACATGGATCATTTCCAACAACCGCCTAATCTCGTCTGTAAGCTCAGCTTGTTTGATGGCCAATTTCTGGCCATTATACCGCAGAACAGCCGTAACCTGATTCGCAGCCAAGTCCTTGGGACCAACCTATAAGATAAACACATTTTACGATTCCGCTTACAGTCATCGATAAGAACTTATTTCCTTGAAGAAATTGTGCTCGCAGAATCACATGGATGCGCTTCACGTGTGTAGTGATGTAGTTCTACTCGCAAAGTTAGGCGCAGTACGACGAGAGAAGGGATGAAGGGAATTTTTAATTTAGATACTTCCCATTTTCGCGTTAACTGCTTTATTCCTCCAGTAGATTCCACAAACCGCTGTTTGATAGCTCGACACGAAAATGGGAGGCAGCCCTCGCGTCGCCGAATTACGCCCAAAATAGAAGAGCGCATTGAAGAAGGAAACGTGTAACGATCACACGTGGCTTAGTGTGCGTTCATACATCGTGATTTGGTCGCTCCGATCGCGCGAGCGATTTGGTCGTTCCGGCTGCCCAATCGACGCCAGCGACCACGTGGCGCCGCTTGCACACTCGACGCCGACTGTTTGGGGCGCGCGAAGCTTCAGAACGGCGACAACCGTGCGCGATCAGAGCGACCAGATCCGAAGTATAAAAACGCTAATGTGACTGCCACATACATGACCAGAAGAATGATAAAAATCGTACAACTGAACTTGATGCAATATTGCGTCATCCTCCTGTGTTACCAAAAGAAACGCAAGAAACATTACGAATATCCATGGAATAGAATAAAATAATAATAAGAGTTACCTCAAGTCGTATGGGCACACCCTTCAACTCCCAATGATTGAACTTCCAACCAGGTGAATAGTTGTCTCTTAATAAAGTACAAGGTATAATAATGTTTTCACTTTGATTGAACTGAAGAAATACCTCAAATCAGCTTCAGCTCTTATATCTGCATCCATTAGTGTCTTTGCTAATTGATCAGCCGTATCTATGAGTTGTTTACGCTGCTCGCTGGTAGTTTGCGCAGTGATACCCACTGGCAGAACGATGACCTCAAAAGTTCCACACAATAATGATTGCTCTATTACCTTCAAGAGTTTAAGACAATCGCGATTTGCCGCACCTTCGGACTAGAGAAGAAAGTTATTCCCACCTGAATAGCAGCTACTCTTGGAGGGAGAACAAGGCCATTGTCATCAGCGTGGATCATTACCATAGCTCCAATTGTACGAGTAGACAATCCCCATGAATTCTGCCATGCGAATTCCTGAATTATAATGGACTTCAGGTGCTGTACTTTGGCATGGATGTTTGGTTCTGGAAGACATATTCTGCCAGAAACGTTGATACCCAAAATCGAGATACTTACACGAAGCCCTTTTGAATTCAGCTAAAAGAACCGCAGCTGCAGACGTAAACGGACGCGCAGCGTCAAAAGAAACGAACTGATCGGGCTATTCATAATTTCGCCTCTACTTTATATTTGCTAAGTCTGAATTTTTTCCATAGTGCTGCAAATACCGAATAACTGGCGAACCTGAAGACAGAGTCCCCGATCAACCAGTGTGCAGAGTGCCGTACCTGCAAAAGTGGCGCGGTTCGGAGGAGCACCACATTCATGGTTCGAAAGCGCTTGGCAGGAACACCAGGACTCTGTTAGCATAAGCAGTCTCTTTCTCTCTCCCTGTTTCGCTCTTATGAACAGAAACATGTCTTATTTAGTGGATTTTCAAGGTTTGTTTTGCTTTTTTCTCCACTAATAGGCTACTGAGCACCTTGACATTCGCTTCTGAACCCCCTCTTCCTCCTCCCCGGAACCCATTAATAACAAACGCCAGCTCTGTCTTTACGAAATTTCAGAAAAACCCCAGCTTCTCGACAGAAGAACAGGAACATAAGCCCTGGACGAAGTACGAATACTTGGAATGCATAGCTCAATACGGTCTAACCCATCTTCTGCTGAATACCTTATACGCTGTGATAAACCTACTGTTGGAGAATGAAGACACCATAGTGATATCGCTGTGATAGACCACCATTGTTTTTGTTATGATGTATCATTGTTTGTATTAGTGATATTTAAGCACATGTGTGGTGAGGTTGTCACTTTTTCTCCGAGGATAAACTTCCAACCAGAAACCTGTCACTACGTTCACAACACCTACCTTTCCACCGGTTGCGGGATCTTCAAATGATATGTCGAACATTTTAGAGAAGTTCTGTCCAAGATGATGAGATGTCGCTCCTTGAATACCTCGTCCATTACATGGTACGTAGGCTTCCACGGTCGTTGTGAAATCCCCACCAGCAAACTTTTCCTGAAAAAAGTTGCTGATCCAATTCGAAAGTGGCCGTAAATGCGGATATCTCCTTGATGAGCGCGGATAACTTTGAATTTGAACTCACTTTTTCACTCTTTCTCCCTTTGACAACAGGAATAGCCAGGAGATCAGTATAAACGCCAGCATAAAGATCAAGAATTTGGAAAACTTCTTTTTGTGCTTCTTCTGGAGTGGCGAAAGCAGTGTGGCCTTAAGTAACACTAGTCCATTTATTGGTACTTGGTGTTGGTAAAAATGAACTGACGAAAGAGTATTACCTTCTTGCCAGAGGAATTCACGAGTTCGCAAGAAAGGGGTTGGATGCTTGAACTCCCATCTCTACAAAGTTAACTACTCCTTCTACACTGCTACCGATCAAAAGAAATTTTCACTGAAAAAATCAAACTAACCACGACATTACACCATTGATTGAGCTTTATGGGCAAATCTCTGTGGGACTGGACCCATTTTTTGTACGATGGATACATTACGGTCTCAGATGTTGGACGAATAGCGATGGGTTCGGCCAAATCAGATGAGCCAGCCCGTGTTACCCACGCCACCTCAAATGAGATAGTTAGGTGGTTCCATTCTAAGGATCTCAAACCTCAAGCAGCAATGAAGAAAAAAAATCAAATGAATGAATAAATGGTGGTACATCATTTACCTCCGGAGCGAAGTCAGCGATGTGTGTCTTTTCTCGTTCCAACGCTGCATTACTAACAAACATGGGGAAGTAGCAGTTTTTCACTCCAAGTTTCTTTATACCGCTGTCAAACCAGCTCTGAAACTAAGTTGCTTCACTCACTCAGAAGGATCACTAAGTCCACTTTATTTCGGAAGGAATTCGTAACTACACTGTATATTGCCAAGCAGGGTTATACAATGCTTGAGGTAAGTCCCAGGTTTAGTGAGTATTGGATGAATAACACATATTGCACCAACATTTTGAAGGAGAATCGCTCTCACAGGTACCTTCTAACGGCTAAGAAATCACCCAGTTTGTGAAACTGTCCGCAAGCCTGATCTCACGCTAGTTCTGCGGCTCGAAAGCCACAAGCAAGGGCATTCATCGCTCAAATAAGATAAAAGCAAATAGAAAGGTGAGCTAGGACAGGTTCGATCCAAGCCCAATGTTTCTCTGCTGTAACTTCTCAGAAAGAGCTAAGGCACGAAACCAGATGCAAGGAGGATGTTCTGGCCTAGAGGCACTTTTGCATTCACCCACCTAGGGAATGTTTTGCGTCGGAAAAGCTCAGTCTCGGGCTGATTAAATGTTTTTCAACATCTTCAGATATTTGACAGCTGCCGCCCCTATCTGTGGTACACAGCTTCGCAACGTTACTATGTATTAGGTTGACGGGAAAGTTCTGTCACTTTTTCGAACTCAAAATATTTATTTGCCCATCACCTGAAGAAGGGTGAACGGTAATGTGAGCACCTACACATCAAAGAGTGTTCTTTCTATTAGCACCACTCGCTTGACTCCTGCTCCTCCCTATTCTGCGATAAGGACAAGTATGTTATCCGCTACCATCGCCACCGACCCCTCCAAATGCTTCTGATAGTGCAGCGCACTTCCAAAAAAGTTCTAGCCGTTCCTCATGCAATAGAGCTGGATGGCTCTCCCCTTGCAGTGGTGTAGCACAGACATTGCTCCTTCTAACTGCGAGTTGCCTCCCGTAATCAATCATTACTGGACGAGAAATTACGAGAAAACCTCGAAAAGTCTGAGTTCAAGCCAAGATTGAGATGATGTCCAACTTTGTATCGCGCCTCCCTGCATTGTGAAGCGATGGCATCCATGAGGTGGCAAGGACCCCGCAGTAACATTGCTGTACAATTTTGATCTTACACGCCTCTCTATAAAAAGAAAGCCCAATTTGAAAAAAGTGACAGAACTTTCCCGCCAACCTAATATAATGGTTTAAAAGGGCGCATTCGAGCAGTATGATGTCAGGGTGTCTGATCATAGTATGATGATCGCAGAAGGAATTTCCAACTATGGTGATATACATGAAAGTTACAATGCACCAGCGTAACGGAAAACGCAAAACGCTGCTAGGTTGGCAATTCTTCCTTTTCCCCCTACACACAAATATCCTTGCAAACTGACCTGAATAGATTCCCAAATTGCATATGACCATGGACGCAACACGTAGCATCCAGACACATCGTAATATTCAATCATTTCGGCCTTCGTGATCACCTTCAACATAAAAGTAATGGAGACTAGGAGAAGTCCTCTATTATGAGCACTAAACTGCGCAACCCTGTACGAATGAGCGCATACACGTGATGAAAGGTCCAGGACACAGCACGTACTGGTGCCGTTGCATATCACGGCTGCACACACCACAGACCGTAGAACGCGAGGACTGAACTATCAAGCTAAAACGGCCCCACTCACCTGACTGTACCATTCAGAATAATTTTCGTCCTTCGAAATTTCAATTCCCAACTTCGTTTGCTTCTTTCCATCGGGTTTCGTCTCCTGTTTTTTCTCCTGCTTCTTTTCTGGAGCAGGCTTTTTCTCCTGGAACACTTCGCTTAATTTAAACGGAAAGAAGCGAAATAAGGTGAAAGGACAACCTACTTTTTGTTTACGACCACCGGGAGCCGCATAATCTTTCCCAGTTATCTCCTTGTAGGTCAACTTCAATCGTAAGAGCTTATCAATGGCTTCCTTTTTTACATCCTAAGGCAAAACAGCTCCGGATTCGATTCGCAAGCAATAATTCTAAAGAAATGACTAGAATTTTGCATTTCGGGACGTACCTCAGACGCTGAAGCATCTCCTTTAAGCTGACGCACTAAATCTCCTTGTGCTGCAATCTGCTCTTCAAGTTCTAGCTCTTTTGCCATAGTAGCCTAGATTCCCTAGAAAGGAGAACCGCAGTAGAGCGAATTATTCAAGCATATCAATACAAATAGAATAGTAGCTGAGAGGAAACTGGACCTCTGGATGATAAAGCAAACACCACAGATATAGTTTGGAATATTTATTACTAAAAAAGGAAGCCACCCGAGTACTTAGGACCTAGAAAGACACATATCACACTAGTTATCACACTGAGATCTGTGCTCCGCCGCTTGCTTCGCTTTCCAGCTCGTCGCGTCGTTTCTTCGTCGTTTCTTTAAAATCTCCCACAACGGCTGAAATAAAAGTTATGACGAAGATGTTAACACCAGTGATTTACAAGCGTTGACCACTCTTTCGAAGTTCTGCACGCTCCGTCAGCAGTTCATGATTATTCGAAAGAAAAGACTTTTTGGACAAAAACCTGTGATAACCAAAAATTTGAAGGACTTGATGTAGGTAAAATGGCAGGTCGTGGCACGCACATTACAGCGCTGCGGCCAGAGGCGTCGAATCACTGCACTGAATCAACTCCTTGCCAGGCCACCAAGCTTTCTTACTCTCCTAGCGATACGGGTAAATTGGTACCAATTTGTTTTGGGGCTGTAAGGAACAAAGCGCTGACCTATTACAGCTCGCGCTAAACCCCGCAAGGGTCAATTGTATATGTCAAGATAGCCGCTTGAATGTGCCACTACGGGTTCGCAGAATGAGGGAAACACGAAGGCGTCCCGCATCCAAAAACGGGCTGACTAGACAGGCCAAACTTTATTGTCTTCGAAACAAGTGTTTTGAAGAAACAGTTTGCCAGCAAAGAAACTTCTACTTACACGGCCTTCTCTGATCGATTCTCTAAACGTCAAGTACGGACAGGGCACTCATCCCGAGCAAGAACTGCGCACCGCCAAAAGTGTGTTTTGGTCCGTTTAGCTCACCACTCCGCACGGTTGGTGCAGAAAAGGGTTAGAAACACATGTGGTCTGACATCGCCGGTTGATCTCCCAAATCATTCTACTGGCCCGCTACGCACTCAATGGTCATGGGAATGAAAAAAATTCGCCTTTCAAATTATCAGATCTTACCTAGTTCAACCATTTGAACAGTTTTTCAGGCTTTATAAGAAGTTCCCGAAAAACTTAAAAAACTTACCTTTGCAATAAAATGGCTATAACGGAACGGCTCTTCGCCATCCTGCTCCACATACTTCAGCCCATATCCATACCTGTCTGGCCCATTACGTCGGGAAAACGTCAATGAGCTCGTGACGGGGTAAAACATCGTGAAGCACCGCTACGGCTTGATCACATAACGGCTACAATATTGAAACGCATTGAAATGCAATTAACAGGGCGCACTGGGCATTTGACCAAACGCAACTCATTCTATCAGGCTGGCCCATAAAGTAATGTGGCGTCTGCTCATAACAACATTTTTACATGTGAGAATCGTTCCAAATACTGTTCTGACACTGGTTTGGCTAGATGAAACTTTCCGCCACTAAAATCATAGCTACGGAATTGCCTCCTTATCTCCTTCGGCCAGGACTTACTTGCTGATTTTTTTTCAGTAGCCATTGAAAGGGAAATACAGGTCGACCCAAAAGTGGAGTTTCCGACAACATAAAAAAAACTACTTTGGTGAGATTTTATCTCGCGCTCTCAAAGCAGAAGAAGCTTCAAACCTTAGTGATATATTGTGACACCAAAGAAAAGGGGGTCGGTCTTATGATCGAAGTTGTCGAACAATGCAAGAGCGGAGCTGGGAATTTGCGCACCGTGTAAGAGCATCGCGTGGGGGCCCTTTTGGGGAAGGACTGCCTGTAGAACCTACCCACTTATCGAACCTCTGACATCAACTGAGAGTGGTGATTGACAATGATAAGAAAACATTCTGTGACCCCTAACGATCCCTCAATTTTTGGCATGGTTCTCAGTCAATAAGGTAATTCCGTTAAGCTCTTAGTTGGACAGAATAGGGCGTTAGGTTCGATGCTTGCCTGTGAGATTGGAACTCAAATCTTCGAATCACCTAAAGTGTTATTAGCATCCCTAAGAGACATAGCCTTTCAGCCATATACTTGGCAGCTGGGCCCATGCGGTTTTAGCTTTTTAATTAATTAGAGAGGTATAAAAAAAGGCTGTCGAAAATGCTCAATTTCGTCGACCTGACACTCTAGTTTGAGCACTTGAATAATAGTGGAAAGAGAAACTTTAAAAAAAGTAAGAAGACTATCGTGTAGGGCAAGCAATTCTCTGCCCAAAACGGCCATTGGAAACTCTATAACTAGCAAAACTTTCCTTCCTCAGCGCGATATTTCGAGTGGGAAAAAAGCCATTACTTATCGGCCGACCCAATACATCATTCGGATAAATACACATATTTTCCAAAAAAACGTTCCCTCAACACCACACCAAACGCACTACGCTCAAATCGCCAAGTATTGCAAGCAACCACAAGCGGTACAGATATGGACTTGGCAGAGGAAGCATATAACTCCTGTAGTCCTTGTGCCTCTGGGGCAATTAGACGCTCGAATAGATTTTTGTATAATGGCTGATGCTCTTTGAGCAAATTGAGTAGCTCCTCAGACGACTTCGAGCACAGGTTTGCCAACATTTCCAGGGATTTGGAAGGATTTTGAACATCCTGACCAGCCTTCCTAAAAAAACAGCTCATATTCCAGAGCCTCAGCCGCTCCTCAGGAAACGTATTAAAATGGAAACTGGAGGACAAGGTAAATAGATAGCCAACCGTGCGAAAAAGAAATTGGTGAAAGGCTGATGCTTGAGCGAGCTCAAACTAATCACTTTTGATCTGTAGCCATGAGCAACGATAGCCGCCCAGTTTTATCATAATTCTGGGTATACTACTAATCAAAGGATAAGTGTAGTAATTAGTGAGGGCGAAAAATAAATAGTAGCTCACATGCGTGCTCTCTGTAAATGCGGACCCTCATGCCCACTGTCTGATATACATTGCGCTGCATCTTCATAATGGCCAAACAGTTCCGCAAGTACACCTATGTGCAGCAAGAGGTCCTTGTCACTGGAGTCCGACTCATCTATAGAAGGATTCTTCAGAGCAAAAGTGTTCTGAGAAGTCCATTAAAAGACAGGACTAAACAAAAACATGAGGATGTGACTCCACAAACCTCTTAACCGCAAAACCTTGTTGAAATCGATCATAACAGTGGCTGGATCGAAACTTTTCGCACGTAATGACTGACATAAGAACGCCGCATACTTCATAACAGCTACAGCCTGAATATCAAGCGTTTATGGACATGCAGAGCTGAAAAAGCAAGGAAAAAAAACACTTTACGGGGACGAAAGAACGAAGAACGAATTCGCGAGTAATGACCAATGAGTGATGGTCACTTTTTTCATGGGCTCGTCAGCTCGGACAAGTCCAAGAAAAAAGAGCTCGAGGAAAATCCCTAAAAGCCTGCTGCTAAATTTCAAGCTGCTCACCACAGGTTTGATGGAAATAGAGTGCCGAAACATATCCATTGCTTCGTGACCCACACCTTCTGACTCGGCTTTTAGCGCCCAGGCACACCACGCTTCAGCAAGTTGTGGATTATGCTTGAGAGCTGTTTCTATGGTAAGATGAGCTTCGACCATCTGAAAATATACCCATAAGAAGGAAACAAGATTAATCAAGCAGGCCAACTGATAACTTACTGCTCCATTGGTGTAGTAGAGCAAAGCCAGACGCAGCCAAGCCTCGTCGTTGGCTTTGTTCAGTTGAAGCGCACGAACAAGGTAATGTTGTTGGAGAGCAATTGACATCGTATCATTAGGTGCGGCACCCTTCGCCAATGTTGACAACCTTTCTGCCTCAGCAATCAGGGTCCACAGCTGAGAACGCATCTGAGCACATTTGCTCAAACTCATCGCTTTTCGTAGACACTCATGCGCCCTATAAAGGACAGAAGATTTCTTTACAAAAAGTTTCACAAACGTAAACTTGCTAATTACACTGCTACAAACTAACTACCCGGCTACAGAAATGAGGTTTTGGTTGCAAATTTTGAGACAGTCCAGCGAACAGTTTCATGAACCTCATCATTACCCAGCTTGTGGTGTCGCGGACACATTGGTAGACAACGAGGTGTTCTCTGTTTTTTTTAAGAAGCTGCAGTGTGAAACAAGTTTCTGCATTACTACAGAAATAGAATTAGTATTGATCATGTTTTCATCTAGAAATTCCTTTCCTTGACTCATATCAATTCGAGGGCTACTTCAAATGAATCACTTTTCATCTTGAAATACCTTGACCGACTAATAGCTAAGATGACTCAAGCTATATTTTGTCTTTCTGCTGTAAATTGCCTCGAATATTAGAAAAATGTTATTGCCATGACTTCAACACGCATCATTTTCTGTTCCTATAAAAGCTTGTGAGAAATAACGTTGTCGGCTTTCGCCCAATAAACTTTCTAAGCGGACGTGTTTCACCGTTCTGGACATCCACTTCGCTTCTTATACTACAGTGCCCCCTCGGCGTAGGAAAGACGAAACGTGTGGCGCGCTGTGGATGTGTAAATACACGATCAAATGGGCAGTTCCGCAGGCGCGCGCTCAACTTCCGCGCACTGCGATTTTAGCAAACGCACGAAATCTTCTACGAACTTGATTCTGAAAAATGAAACCCACTTTGCCGAATGCTGCTCAGACTTGTCAAGCCTGGCCAGACATAGCAAACCAGTAGCCAGGTCATTCCATGCCCATGCATTTTCACGATTCAGATCAAGGGCAACTGAATAGAACATGACTGCTGACCGAACCGCAGACAGGCGACAGGAAATTGACCACGATGGCGGGATCTGAACAAAGCAAAATTTTCTTGAAAAAAAAATGGTAAGGAAAGATCAGCCGGTCAATGCTCACCTCAAGCTTCACGAACAGTTCACTCTTGAACTTTACAGCATGAAGAAGAGCATCTGCGGCTAGCTTGTAAGCTAACGATATACGGGGCCGTCCTGCTATCACATCATCTAGTAGATTGAAAACCTTTCTCAAATGGTCCAGCCTTTCACTACCGAGTGTGCTGCCGAACAAACGCAGATGAACCTGAATTTCACGAAATATAAAGCATTTTCACGACATTCAAAAAAGCAATGCCTCAAATGAGTGAAAAGAGAGCGCACCTGCGCTTCCAAGATGTCGACGGCACTTGTTAGTTGAGAATTTTGGCTAATTGTTGCACGCCATTTAGTGCATTGTTCGGCGGCGCCTTCCAGATTATGCATACGCATCAGAACTTGAATTAGCTAAAACAGGAAGCATGGTAATCCAGAAATATATGACCCAAAAGGACATCTTCCCTAGGAAACCACCATCAAACGCGCTTTCGGGAAGCACTTGTGAACACCCCAATTAATATTGATTTGTGTTTTATGTTAACCCTCAATCGGCTTCGGAACTACACCCACCAACCTTACCCTAAACAAAACCCACAGAAAAATACTAACAAAAACTCACACAAATTGCATAGTCACTGCTGGGGTCGATTTCTAGAACGCGGCCATACGCATTCACAGATGACTGAAAAAGGAACCTTCTCAACCCAAATTTTCCTATTTGTCTGATGAGTCAACTAAGAATCACGGTATAGCATCGTTGTGACCCGTGAGGCGGAGGAGTCTTTCGTCAGTGGATGTAAGAAGTCGTACTTGTTCCGAGAGGAATCCCCAGCTCCCTGTTCCACACTTCAGTAAGATTTTGGGAGAGCCTTGTAAAGTTGATAATGTGAGTAGGTTATAGGACGCGTCGTCTCAACGGAGAAGTTGACCCCGGAAAATCGGGCAATAAACACGACGGGCTTGGGGGGGGGTGGGGGCGGTTGTAAGGCACGTCCACTGGTGGAAAGGCTGGGTGGGTGGTTAGAAGCCCTCATCGGGCCCTTCCACCAGTGATTGCTGGCAAACCTGCCCACTGCCGTTGAGGAGATTTCTGACACCGCTCTTTCACCCATCCCGATGCTGTACCTTGATGTAACTCCGCACTAAACAGACGTAATTTTCACCCACTTGCAAATTGCCGCGATGCGAATATACTTCCGCTAACGAGGCCCAGCTCAGAATATCGTCAGGCAAATGCCTAACAATTTGTTGGAGTTCACCGATAGCAGTGTCCCAGTCTTGCTTGATCTTTGCGAGTCTAAAAATCTTTCATGAAGATTTGCCAAGATATCACTTCTCAATACATATACAGGGGGGGGCCAAAAAAAAGTCATTTCGGCCGAGCCACATATCAACGAAGTTTTCGCAGCCCAGACAGGGGAAGTGGATATGAGTACCAGGGTGGAAGATACCCAAGATCTTCCTCTATAAGCTGGAGCACGCTGCCGCCAATCGCCTTCATGTACGCCAAAATATGAAGTCATCTCCAGTCGCGGCCTGACTGGAGAACACCTTTGGAATTCACGTCGCCTCCAAACAGCTGCGAAACTTCTTGAATGAAGTCATCCACAGATAGCTACCTGGAGGTCAGTACTCTTGACCTGCAAGACCTCCCACATCGAGCAGCTACGGCAACGTCGCTACGGTCTAGGACATCATCTTCACCGTATTCGCCGAGGCGCGAGTTGATGGTATGGACCGGGGTACCTGGAAAGGGGAAGACCGATATTTTCTTTGTAGACCCCGACTGAAGGTGAGCGCTGGCGGTTACATCAAGTAACTCGAGAAGAATATCCTCCCTACATGTGGTCGCCCGTACCTTCTTGGAGACCTTGTGCTGCTACAGGTTTGGGTGCCACCACATGGAATCAAAGGGTTTTGGAAAAACTCCCGCTACTTGGAATGGAAGGGGGCTGAATACCTAAAGAAGGTAGAATATCCAAGTAGGTCACCTGACCTGTATCCCCTCAATTACCCGGTTCGGGCGGAGTTCAATAGGGTGGTCTACGGTGGCGGAGAAATCAACGATCTCGCTCAACTCCGGTACCACTCACTTTCGCGCGGCCGAATCTCTCGATGGCGCTCCTCCAGAAGGCTGTGGCGGAGTATCATTATAGTATTTAATGTGCTCTTTAATATGGTAGTAAAAATGTCCGATAAAAATTTAATAAAGTGTAACTTATAGCGCCTTGAAAGTCATGGAGGCAAAATGACTTTTTTTTGGCCCCCCCCTGTATAAACAAAAAAAACCCACACAGCTAGTCGCCTTCTCAACCACATTGGCTTCTTGCAGGCTCCCAAGGTGTTAAGCAGATTCAGTCGCTGCTCTGTTGATTCATCTATTTCTTCATACATGTCGTCCAATTCCTTGACGTATTCCTCGTTCGTCGGTCGAATTTTCACTGCTCTTTCCAGGCATGAGCGAGCTTTGGTTGGATTCTTACGGCGTAATGTTTTCCCAAGCACGAAAAAGACGCGACTTGAACGTGGATTCAACTTTGCAGCCTGAAACCAGGAGAAAACTGAACGCAGATTTGGTGGCCGCACTTCAACAATGAATCTGAAGTGTTATGCAAAGAAATCTATTAATCTGAAGTGTTAGGGAAAGAAATCTATTAAATTTTATTAACTAAAATGGGAAGACTACACCCAGTTGATCAGTAATCGATTGGAGGTTGGATATTGCTCCTGCTTGAAGGGAGGTTGGATTTTCTCTCCAAATGAATATCTTTTTTCTTTATCCTGAATGAATGAGCTGACGAGTAGAACCACTACTGCTTTGCTTATCCTTAGACCTTGACCTTATGTCTTCAACAGAAACACGAAGACTTGAAAGCACTTTAACGTCAAAACCAGAAGATGCTGTCCCATCCCTCACCTACCTTCACTAGCAATGATGTCGCATCTTTTGACAAAGCAATATTCAACTCTGCAATAAGAACGAGATCGCGCCACGACTTCGATTCGTCGCCAAGGAGAGCCTCAGCATCTTCAGCTGCGTCGGCTGCATTTCCATTTCGCAGAGCACGGTAAATGCTGAAACCAAGAACTTTCATGTACCAAATATTTGCTAAGTAAGTATCGACATAAAAGTGCGGTTTTTCAGTACATAACAGAAATATTTCTTATTTCTATCAAGAAATAGCGGAATTCGCATGCTACCTATGGAAAACAATTTTCAGTGGTTTTGCAGCAGAAAAAAAAACGTGAAAGATTTAGTAAGGAAGTTTCAAAGAAAGATCTAACCGGAAACGTTTCGCATCCGCAGAATCTTTTCCACACTGTTCAATTAAATCGCTCAAGTTTTCGCCTTTCCATAATGCAACTTTCGCGCTGTCAATGGCGAAGGATGGAGGGAGACTTTCCAATGGAACTTGAATCCTGAATCCTTCAAATGTTTTTCTGGGCGACGTTGTTCGGAAGTCCAAAATGTTAAGGCCAAACATACCTTGCCGCCTCGTCAATATTATCCATTTCCAGAAACACTCGTCTTTTCAGAGAACGTGCTACATCGCCACACCGTTCAGAAAGTTTTTGTGAGGGCGGATCCAGTCCACACCTGAATTAAAAAGCGGCTTTATGTGATTCTGAAGTAAGAGGTGGAATTCTGAGCATACGTCGCGAAAAAAATACAAACAAAGGAAGGAGCAGAAGCATAATGAAATGAGACGGACCCAGATGAGGTAATAGTGAACAAAATACGAGTCGACAACGGCCACTCGTCAAGCCAGGTGATTCATGCCTTCACTGGAAATCAAACCCCGCCTACATTAGGTACTTAGTGAAGGCTTGCAACAGGATGATGCAATTCCGACTTGTTATTCGGGTAGCGATAAGAAGCAATCTGCTCGGCTGTCCCATTAGTAAGTTCTACTGCAATTTCAGAATGAATTTTAACCCCTGATCCGAAACTGAAGATACAGGGACGATGGCAGAAACGGGAGATATTCTTCATTTTATATTGTGGGTTGATATTCCTGATCTTAATTGAATCGTAGTTTTTAGTGGACATAGTAATAAAGGACTTGTCAACGTACCATGCTAACTTTCTCCCAGTTCTCCACTTCGGCCAGCAGATGCACGGCAACATAGCGAGAGGTAA